CTGAAAGGGCGAGCATGTTTGGTGGGACGTGGATCCGAACCCGCTACACTCAGATTGCGAGTCGAGCATCTTATCCACCTGGCCATGCCGGGCTTTATAAGTCTTCACTTTGCTTCATTAAGATTGAGTGGAATAATTTCCTCGTCATTTAACAATCAAGCTGAAAAGTATTTAATTGATGGTTTTCATGAATATGATGTCAAAATTATGAGTTAGAATCACAAGCGGTTGTTACTTTTCTACAAACCTTGATTTTCCAAAAGATTAATGATACACAGAGTACAATCTTCACACCTTTGAGTCATCAGGCAGGAACGTCACATAATTAGTTATATTAAGGTAGATTTTTGTTTTGGTATTCTTGAACACATTTCTGTCCTTATCTGATGTAATTATTGCAATATGTATAGGAAAGAAACATGTGAAATCCAATAACATGTTTTATTTTAAATAACTTACACTTGTTATCTGATGTACCTATTATAATAACCGTAGAAAAGGAATATGAGAAAACGCAATATGATATTCCATTTACAAACACTTACTTACTTGATGTAACTATTACAGTAAGTGCAGAAAAGGAATATGGGAAAACGCAGCAAGATATTCCATTTACAAACATTTCCTTATTTGACGTAACTATTACAGTAAGTGCAGAAAAGGAATATGGGAAAACACAGTAAGATATTCCATTTACAAACAGTTCCTTATTTGACGTAACTATTACAGTAAGTGCAGAAAAGGAATATGGGAAACACAGTAAGATATTCCATTTACAAACAGTTCCTTATTTGACGTAACCAATACAGTAAGTGCAGAAAAGGAATATGGGAAAACACAGTAAGATATTCCATTCTAAATCACTTATTTATCAGATGCAAGTATTGCAATAGTGGTAAGAAATGAATACAATAGAACAGCAGGAAGCCTACGGACTTAAAGCGCTAAAATCCGGGGTTCGATTCCTTGTAGTACACACACAACAGATAGCCCATTATGACTTTGCTATAAAGAAAACAAACAAACAAAACAAACCATACAAAGAGAACCTAACAATATATATATTACATTCAAACAAGTGATTACCTGCAAAAATTTATTTTCTTTCAAACTTTTCTTAATTTACCAAGATACTACTAACATAAACATAATGAAAACTTAAAGAAGATGGCGTATTAATGACGGCCTTTTCTGGGTATGAACAAGAATGTTGTGTTTGAGAGAAAGAGAGTTTACAGAAAAGCCAAATATAATGACCCACTAACTATTAACTTCTACTACATTTACTGAACTAGTTTTCACTAGTCGTGTGTTTTGAGTTTAAAAATTGGAGAAGAAACACGACTCTCTGTTTATTTTACTAAATCTGAATACAACTTACAAAACCTTGATAATCAGTGTCTCACAATTATATAAAAAACAATATCTTTTTTTACTGATATTTTTTGTATTACTCTGAACTGCTGAATTTTTATCGACTTTTATAGAAAAATATGTGATTATTTTATAATGTCTTCTCATGATGACATTAATTGGCTTGATAGGCCACAATGACTAGTCAAATCAGAAAATATCTGGCATTTTCAGCAAACATAAGAAACAAAACTGAATAAAATTTTTATCGATATCTTGTTTACTGTTGCCTTGGGCTGCAAATTATTGACCGAACAATACAAGGGTCGGCCATAAGAGTTTCAGCTTGAAACTTTTTTATTTTTTGGTACTAAACCCTAATTTGTAGAACATGCGGTTACGTTGTCATATGAGTAATCCGTTAAGTAAACAAGATCACTATTTACTAGCGATAAGTCTGAAGGCTTATGACTAAAAACCGGGTTTCACTACCCGTGGTGGCCACAGCACAGATAGAGCACTGTGCAGCTTTGTGCTTAACAACACACAAGCAAACAAACCCTTTCTTGCAAAAACATTCTCAAAGTATTCACATTGCAAAAACAAATCATTCTTTTTAGTTTAAAGGAACGACTTTCATTATCCATCATTAGTATACTTGGATTCATGTGGTATCAAATCTTCTTTCCAAAACACGTAGAAAAATGTTTTCGAATGTACTATTTGCTGAATTATTAATAATAACTTTTAAGTGAATGTAAAGAAGAGTTACGTCCAGTGCTGACGAGGCCTTTCGTAAATTCCAGAGTACTTGAGGCCAACCGGAATATGTCATAGTAGTTGTTGATACGCTACTTATATTAGCAAAGAGGCTGAGAACAACTGTTTATAAACTAGATTCAGTTGCGAATAGTAATTGTCATAAAAAGTTAGAATTAGGGCAAGGATTATTCAAAATTATATTTATTTATTTTTTACTGCCACATTATATTAATTATTATTTTCTTGAATTAACCTGTTCATCATGATTCAGAACTAGCGAACCACCAAGTTAGTCTTCTTGACCTCGAGATGGGCCAAGCGATCACAGAGTCAAGGGAAAAGATTACATTAATAATTATTGATAAGAACTTCTGAATGAATGTAAGGAACAATTTCTAATATAATGTTTTGTGTGGATTTGAACCCTATAGCTTTCTGTTTTACAATCTAACTTTACATTAAGTTATTCCACGTTGTTTAAAGTTGCTAAGTGAAAGAAGTGACGTAATTCATTGTAAAACTAGTGTAATTTACATTGTTGTTTGAAAACAGTTTTGGTTGAACGTTTTAAAGGCCTTATGTATGTATGTAAGTATGCGTGTATGTATATATTTCATAAAAGATCTTCCTATTATTAAAAATGGATATATCAACTAATAGCTGCCACGGACGAGATGCCATCATTGTTGGCACGTAACTTTAACGTCTATATTCATGACCTTCAAAAAAGTATATCAGTTATAAATCTGTGTCTATAGGTTGCTATGGGGACTAAAGGCTCCGCCCCTCGATGGTCAGTCTGGATCGATAATAAAAAACTACCACCAATCACAAGTAGGCACGAGAATGTTAACAGACGACTGCATCAAAAGTGTTCTGAATATGTATTGCAATATATCTGTAAGTAGCTATACAGCTTTGAAATTTCTGATTTGAGTGCCTATCTATTTTGTTTAGAGTTATTTCATTAAGATGCAGTGAACAACCTCTTACACGTAAGGTTTGAATGTTTATTGTTCACACTCGATACAGTAAAAATAGCTGCTACATAAAACAAGAGATCCTTCATTCCTTCGTTTTCAATACAAACTAATTGATATACTGCAGACAAACCATTAATTTGTTGATTAGATAAGACGAACAGGGACATGTGCAACTACAAGATTGTATGCGACCAGCGTTCTTACTTACCATTCTACTATCCTTAAAAGTTTTTACTTTAGTTTTAATGATGCTAAAAGAAAAAGAAAATTCAAAGTTACCAAGCAAATGGCTAATATATAACCATACAGGTGTAAAAGGCATTCTGGCGTTTTCGTGCGATAGTCACATGGCAGTTGAGAGGCGCAAACGCATTATTTCCATGTCTCATGATATATCCCGAGGAGAACGAGAAACAGCGATATTAACGAGTGTATCATTCATAACAATTTCATCATTTGCGAAGAAAGGGCGTTTGGTACAAGAATCGCTGCAATTGAAAAGAAACCCATCGCCAACGTAAGTTTCTCTGCGTTACGTCTTCCTCATGCAAAACAAATTTTTTTCTGGAAGTAAGCTCATATACAGTAATTGAAGTAGTTTTAAGATTTTAAAGTATAGACAACAAAATATTGAAAATACATTTTTTTGTGAAATTTATAGGTTAAGGATATTTTTAATAAATTACTAACTATTATTAGTGTTTTATAAGTTCTTTATTTAAACTTTAAAGTTTAATTTTTAGACTCTTAAGACTGTTGAAGATAAAAAAAAACCTTACTGAAACTGATATGTATATATTCCTCTAAATTCAATCAGTACTTGTAGAATATTCTATTATAGTAAGTTATTTTAAATAGCTTTGCATAAAATTTTAATCATGCTTTGGAGCGGTTTCAAGTTTGAATCAGGGTACAACGCTTGCAATAACCGATTAGTAATAGCACTTCCCGCTAGGGGATACCGATAAAATCAAACATTGCAAAAACATACAACATTAGGAAAAGAGCACAATATCTCTTCTCCACCCAGAAGGGCCGGACGTAGTTTAGTGAGTAGCGTTCCTGTACTGTGAATCTGTTCTACTCAGAAAGGCCGGACGTAGACGCTACTCACTAAACTACGTCTGGACCTTCTGAGTAGAATAGATTCACAGTACAGGCACGCTACTCACAAAAGTACGTCCAGCCTTTCTAAGAGGAACAACTTCACAGTATAGGACCGCTATTCACTAAACTACGTCCGGCCCTTCCGAGTGAAAATGATTCATAGTACACGCACGCTACTCACTAAACAGTACACGCACGCTACTCACTAAACTACATCCGTCCTCTCTCAGTGGAACAGATTCAGAGCACAGGCACGCTACTCACTAAACTACGTCCGGCCTTTCTTAGTGGAACAGATTTGAATCATTCACACTCGGAAGGACGTAGTTTAGTGAGTAGCATGCTTTTGCTCTGAATCTGTTCCACTGAGAGAGGCCGGGCGTAGTTTAGTGAGTAGCGTGCGTGTACTGTGAATCATTTTCACTCGGAAGGGCCGGAAGTAGTTTTGTGAGTAGCGTGCCTGTAATGTGAATCTATTCTACTCAGAAGGGCCAGACGTAGTTTAGTGAGTAGCGTGCCTATACTGTGAATCTGTTCCACTTAGAATGGCCGGGTATAGTTTAGTGACTAGCGTTCCTGTATTGTGAATCTGTTCCACTCAAAAAGGCCGGACGTAGTTTAATGAGTAGCGTTCCTGTACTGTGAATCTTTTCTACTCAGAAAGGCCGGACGTAGTTTAGTGAGTAACGTTTGTTTGTTTGTTTGTAATTAAGCACAAAGCTACACAATGGGCTATCTGTGCTCTGCCCACCACGGGTATCGAAACCCGGTTTCTAGCGTTGTAAGTCTGCAGACATACCGCTGTGCCACTGGGGGGCAGTGAGTAACGAGGCTGTACTGTGAATCTGTTCCACTCAGAAAGGCCGGACGTAGTTTAGTGAGTAGCGTTCCTGTCCGGTGAATCTGTTCCACTCAGAAAAGGCGGACGTAATTTAGTGAGTAGCATTCCTGTACTGTGAATCTATTCCACTCAGAAAGGTCGGACGTAGTTTAGTGAATAGCGGTCCTATACTGTGAAGTTGTTCCTCTTAGAAAGGCTGGACGTAGTTTAGTGAGTAGCGTGCCTGCACTGTGAATCATTTTTACTCAGAAGGGCCGGACGTAGTTTAGCGAGTATCATTCCTGTACTGTGAATCTGTTCCACTAAGAAAGGCCGGACGTAGTTTAGTGAGTAGCGTGCCTGCACTGTGAATCATTTTTACTCAGAAGGGCCGGAAGTAGTTTTGTGAGTAGCGTGCCTGTACTGTGAATCTATTCCACTCAGAAAATGCGGACGTCGTTTAGTGAGTAGCGTGCCTGTACTATGAGTCTGTTCCACTTAGAAGGGCCGGGCGTAGTTTAATGAGTAGCGTGCCTGTACTCTGAATCATTTTCACTCAGAAAGGCCGGGCGTATTTTAGTGAGTAGCGTGCATGTACTCTGAATCATTTTCACTCAGAAGGGCCGGACGTATTTTAGTGAGTAGCGTGCCTGTACTATGAATCTGTTCCACTCAGAAAGGTCGGACGTATTTTAGTGAGTAGCGTGCCTGTACTATGAATCTGTTCCACTCAGAAAGGCCGGACGTTTTTTAGTGAGTAGCGAGCCTGTTTTGTGAATCTGTTCCACTCAGAAAGGCCGGACGTAGTTTAGTGACTAGCGTTCCTGTACTGTGAATCTGTTCCACTCAAAAAGACCGGACGTAGTTTAATGAGTAGCGTTCCTGTACTGTGAATCTGTTCTACTCAGAAAGGCCTGACGTAGTTTAGTGAGTAGCGAGGCTGTACTGTGAATCTGTTCCACTCAGAAAGGCCGGACGTAGTTTAGTGAGTAGCGAGGCTGTACTGTGAATCTGTTCCACTCAGAAAATGCGGACGTCGTTTAGTGAGTAGCGTTCCTGTCCAGTGAATCTATTCCAATCAGAAAGGTCGGACGTGGTTTAGTGAATAGCGGTCCTATACTGTGAAGTTGTTCCTCTTAGAAAGGCTGGACGTAGTTTAGTGAGTAGCGTGCCTGCACTGTGAATCATTTTTACTCAGAAGGCCCGGACGTAGGTTAGTGAGTAGCGTTCCTGTACTGTGAATCTGTTCCACTCAGAAAGGCCGGACATAGTTTAATGAGTAGCGTTCCTGTACTGTGAATCTGTTCCAGTCAGAAAAGGCGGACGTAGTTTAGTGAGTAGCGTTCCTGTACTGTGAATCTATTCCACTCAGAAAGGCCGGACGTAGTTTAGTGAGTAGCGTGCCTGTGCTCTGAATCTGTTCCACTGAGAAAGGCCGGACGTAGTTTAGTGAGTAGCGTGCCTGTACTGTGAATCTATTCTACTCAGAAGGGCCGGACGTAGTTTAGTGAGTAGCGTGCCTGTGCTCTGAATCATTTCACTCAGAAAGGCCGGACGTAGTTTAGTGAGTAGCGTGCCTGTACTATGAATCTGTTCCACTCAGAAAGGCCGGACGTTTTTTAGTGAGTAGCGAGCCTGTTTTGTGAATCTGTTCCACTCAAAAAATGCGGACGTAGTTTAGTGAGTAGCGTTCCTGTACTGTGAATCTATTCCACTCAGAAAGGTCGAATGTAGTTTAATGAGTAGCGTGCCTGTGCTCTGCATCTGTTCCACTCAAAAAAGGCGGACGTAGTTTAGTGAGTAGCGTTCCTGTACTCTGAATCATTTTCACTCAGAAGGGCCGGACGTAGTTTAGTGACTAGCGTGCTATTACTGTGAATCTGAGAGTCAGTGGTTGGAGTTCCGTTGCCGTAAGATCGAGTTTTGCAGTTTGGAGTCGACGATGCGTTATAAAAGTGACGGTCAGATCCCTGTACATCTTCAGACATGAGCAATTCAAGAGTAAATGATAGGTGCCGTTGACTAGCTGCATTCCCAATTTCTCAATTATTTCAAACTTAGGAATGGCTAGCGTAGGTAGCTTTGGGCGAACGTGTGAAACATACAAACCTTTTTTTTTTTTCTTTGGTTCAGTATCCCACGAACACTGGCATGTTTGTGACTAGTACGTCTTTGGTAAATGTTACATTGCAAATTTTAGAAAACACACATTGTATTTTATAAACTTTTCCACCCTATAAAACCAAAATATCTTCCAGTTATGTTACGCGGATAATGTCATCACCATAGCAACGATTTTAACGTCTGTTTTACACCAGTGTCGTTGTCGGTGGTATAAAAACGTCTAAACGGTTTAAGTTTTAGATCAGTGCTTCTCAACCTTTTCCAATATCATTCATCCCTATAAGTTTTTCCCAACAGCTTACTCACCCCAGTTCGAAAAAAGACAAAAAGGCACAAAATTAAAATGCAAAATTCTTTATTATGATTTAAATATACATCAAACTACAACTGGAATGAATACAACGTAAAATAAATAAAAATAAATGTATTTATAAAATTACAACTAAAATAAATAACAATAACTAATGACTTTTGGATCTTGAATTTGTTGTATAATTGATAATACTCTTGGATAATCTTATAATAAATATGCCAATGAATACGTTGGCGGGTCCAGAATTTTCTGAAAAGAGAAGGGGGGGGGGGATAACCTAGTGGGGCTAGTGATCAAGGAGCCCGCTTAAGTGAACTAGATATTAAGGAATTCGGTTCAAGAGACAGCCTTACTCCTACTCAAAAACTCTGTGAATGTTTATTTTCGTAAATCTGACAAGCTTATTGCATGTTTCCGGTTTCTTTATGATGAGTTTATTTTCGTTTTGTTTAACTAAGTGAGTGCCCAATAGAATGAATCCAAAATACAACTACAACTCATTCCACGTGTTTATCACGAGAATATTTGCAGACATTAGGCCTAATGACTTGAAAATTTTCATTTCAAAACTACAAGAATATGATGCTTTTTTGCAACCGCAGAAAAGCTTTACACTGATTGAAAATTATGTTCTGTAACCTGTGAAAGGTACACTTTGTACACACTGTTGACAAGTTTTTGTTGTCTGTATCCAGTCTAGACTGATTAAACCATCAAATCCAATCATTTTCGTCTCTAAATAACCAATTAAAATTAGAGAAAAAAGTAAAGTTTTCTTCTAATTATTTTGGTTCATTTTTAATGTTTATATCATCTGTTATGTTCTTTATGAAACAAAAGATTTAATCAGAATATAGAGAAATGTATTCTTTTGATTTTTTTCTAATTTTTTTCGAAAACTGTTTACAGAAGTTTTCATTGTGACATTATAAGAGATTGTATCTGATATGTAAATAGCAAGGGTGTGGTGCGTTGATTAACATGCCCAGACTGTGATTCAAAGATTCATGGTTCGCGACATTTTGCCGCAACAACGTGCTCCGCACTTCGTGGCTGTGGGTGCTTTTAGTGTTAGCCATTCTTTGATTTATGTATCATTATTCAACATGTTTTTAAAATCAAAAAATGAAAATATCCTATGAAAATATGAAAGCCATTAAAAATCACGGACTATACTTCACGTGCTCGCCATTTCAGCCGTGGGGGCGTTACAATGTGACGGTCAATCCCACTATTCGTTAGTAAAAGAGTAGCCCAAGAGTTGGCGGTGGGTGGAGATGACTAGCTGCCTTCCCTCTAGTCTTTCACTGCTAAATTAGGGACGGCTAGCGCAGATAGCCCTCATTTAGCTTTGCTCGAAATTTATAACAAACAAACAGACTATACTTCAAGTAGTAATTAATCGTTAAATATCGTCCTTATTAAACATGAGAAGACATCCAATGAAGCACAGAACACTGCTTCAAGTGATAGTCGGTCATGAAAAGTAGCCATAATTAAGCAAAAGAAGACGTCTGAACACGAACGATGCTTCAAGTTGTAATGATTGATTACAAATTGTTCTATTAGAACAAGGAAACACACCTAGTGGAGCGTGGATTCTGCTTAATCGTGAACCAAGATAGTGGTTCATAATAAGGATCGTCTATTTGTTCTTCTTTATTATTATTTAATATTGTTGCACCAACCTACAGCAAAAACGGTTGTGAGTATTGTAGTAAAACCTAGGTAATTTTACTAAACGCATTATTGAGCATTGTGTAGGGTAGTTTTTAAGTTTATGTGACTACCTATCAAATAACAGCGGCTATATAACTGTTGACACCCAATCGTTTTAATGTAGTCTGTGGTTTATATGGAGCTTGGATTACATCCATGGCCTGCACGTAGCTGTATACGTGTATGCATGTAGTATATAGCTGCATGCAAGCCGTGCTCGTTCGTTTCTGGCAGTTATTTTGATTTAAAAAGTAATTATTTCCGAAGAAATAATTACTTATCAAGGGTGCTCGAAGATTAAGCAATCCTCCTTCACCCCGCTCGTGGCCTAGGAATATGGGCTTAGCTTGAGAAACAGGAAATTAAGTGTAAATCAGAGTAAACTAAACTAAACGGCCGATATAGGACATATGGTCCATCAGGGCGACGAGATCTGTAAATCCTGTGCCAATAATTTTATGGGGGGGGGCGGGAATACTCCGAGAAAACCCACTTTCACTGGTAACGATCAATCCGAGAAGAAGTAAGTAGGGAAGGCAAAGTGAAGTCCGGTGCTGGGGGTAGATTAACTTTTGAATGAGTTGTGGATTCTCCTGATGTTCGATTATTAACTCATTGGTGCAACTCTATGTTGCGTATCATCTGTTTATGTATAAGGTTCCTGCCCTTTTGGACACAACGCTGCTAACAGGATCACAGTTTTTTTACCATTGCATGATCGATTTCGGCCATGTTACACAAACGTCTTAAACGTTACACAAACGTCTAGACTGTCCTCCACAACCGATATATTTAAGCCGTTGTTTAAAAGATAGCACCAAACTGAGTTTCGAGCATCGGATCGGCAATCTCGATGATAGCTGATAGTAAGTGTCGAATTATAGCAAACACTGCGTGATTGCGAATTTTATAGAGTAGCCATCATTGAAGCTGACTATAAGGAGTGGCAAGAATCGTGCAAGCAGGAGATGGCGAAAATTATGGTGATTCTAGGCGAAAGTGAGGCAGAAGTTTTGTAGCTATATAATTTATTTAGAAAATATTTATTTTCAGATAAAACATACAGCAGCGACGGCCCATCAGAGTTTAGGATCGTCACAGTGGAAGAGGGTCGTAGAGGTGTCACGACCCAAACTCCATCAGAAATGGAGGAGTGGAGGTATAGTAATATACTCAGTTCATAATTATTAATTAACACGTTTTCGACCCTGTAAAGTTTTCAAAATGTCACTCTAAAAGGAAATCTACCCACCTGCAGCAAAACCGTGACCGGCCTTTATGATCAGGGGAGAGGAAGAAGGGGGAAATATAACAAGTATAAGTATTAAGAATGCTTATTTGTATACATATGTTGTTATATTATGGCACATAATCCTATATTTGCATTGAAAATATATGCATCTATCTGTACAACTTAAAAAAACTATGAAGTCTGCTTGTATATGTGTATATAGATATAGCCAACATGCACTGCATGTTTAAAACTCATGCGGTTACAAAATCCAGTCCATGCACCATTCCAGTATAGTTCAGTAGTCCCTCCAATCCAGTGTTTAAAGACTTCCCATATAGCTACAGGGTATAAATATAGTTGGTATATATATATTACAAACAAATACATAATATGTGGTATGTTGATCACTATGCATCATAGTGATCATTCATGCAGTGCCACTATCAATGATATCATTGTGGCAATGATATCAGGAACAATAATCATTCAATCTGCCTGAAGCCAATCCAAAGGTTGTCATTGTTCCAGAAAAAGCATCATACACCAACTATGTATTTCATTAAACTAAACTGTTTCAAATAGGTCATTATTTCTATTATACAGATTTATGTCCAGGAGGGTCATAAAAAAAAACTAAAGAAACAAGATGATTACAAATTGTTAATTTAATAGGGATTTTCAAAAAATTACAGAAACAAGATAGCTAGCGTAAAGTAAAAATGCAATCGCATAAAAAAGTAAACAAAAAACCTTAAAGTTTGAGCTACAAATCCCTATTTTGAATTTCCTAAATATTATAGCTTTTAGACTTGGAAATAATGTCAACACTACGTCTCAAAGCTTAAGCATGTTTTTCACTTTAAGCTACCTATTTTGTTTCTGTAATTTTTTCAAGATCCTTATTCCTCACTTTTTAAATTAACATGATCTTGTTTCAGTAGCAATAATTCATTACACACGGTCCTAATAAAAGGAGAAAACAATCAATGAAACATTCACTTTACTTAAATAGTAATGATTCATTAAACGTGGTTCTAATAAAACAAGATAAAACAACCAATGTAGCATGGACTGTAATACAAATAGTAATGATTCATTACACTTGGTTCTAATAAAACAAGAGAAAAACAACCAATGTAGCATGGATTGAACTACGAATAACAATGATTCATTACACGTGGTTCTAATAAAACAAGAGAAAAAACAACCAATGTAGCATGGACTGTAATACAAGTAGTAATGATTCATTACACTTGGTTCTAATAAAACAAGAGAAAAACAACCAATGTAACATGGACTGTAATACAAGTACTAACGATTCATTACACGTGGTTCTAATAAAACAACCAATGTAGCATGGGCTGTACTGCAAGTAGTAATCATTCATTACACACGGTTCTAATAAAACAACCAGTGTAACATGGGCTGTACTGCAAGTAGTAATCATTCATTACACACGGTTCTAATAAAACAAGAGAAAACAATCAATAAAGTAATAAAGATTCTAATACTGGTTCTAAAAAACAACAACAATGAATTATGGATTGCACCACAAGTAATAATGATTCATTACACGTGGTTGTAATAAAAGAAGAAAAACAACAAATGAAGCACGGACTGTACTACAAGTAGTAATGATTCGTTACACACTCTTCCCAATATAAGATCGCACTCGATTGAATAATTAAGCGAAAATTACCCCCACACACCCAAACATTTACATATTATACAAAATAATTCTCTTTATAACTCCATTCAGCAGGGATGAGTTAAGCCAATCTTTTTTTTTTTTACACAACTTGCACGCTCTCAGATTTATTCTATTTAAAACACATCTTTCATAGAGTTAGGAGCTGAAGTTAGCGCAACTGTGAAGTACTACACCACCTAACAACATTATATTGTGTCTGTTTGTAATAAGTCGTGTTTAAACCACTCTAAACATGAGTTGGAAAACTGATAAATGCGTTCCTGCACAAAAGCTCCCTTGCGTGGTTGTCTCTGTTCGTGAATATTGGACTTTGAACGGATTGTCCTTTAGAATGCGGTTTTCCGTTTTGATAGTTTTCTCCACCCTCTTATAACAATATACTATTTTTCATTTAAAGGAAGGCACATGTAGACTAGGTTGGAATTTTGGGACCACGTCCGGCCATATATTATATATGACAAGAATAACTGGTTCCATCTATATATATGTCGCACCATTTCAGAACAAAAGTACAAGTTTTACCATTATTATTAAACTTCATCATCAAATGTATTCGGTCTCTCATAAAAAACAACAGCAACCAGCGTTAACTAAAGGAAACATCTGTACAAGTTCGTCCTTGAATTCAGTCTGATAATCAGCTAAAATGGATGAGTGAAACGAAATATTTTATTTATTAATATAAAATATATAGTAATGAAGAATTGATGATATTCGGTCAAAGTTCAATATGCCTGAAATAGGTTTTGATATGATGTAAAGCAAAAAACAAATTTAAAAAAGGTGAACCGCGCTCGTTGCTCTAGAGTGAATTATATGAGGTTACAAAGTCCTTACCATGAACAAATGAAAAGTGCAGTTTTAAAGCAGTATCAACTCAGCTGAGCACGAGCTTTTCTAGAAGTATCACGTCTTTTGGGTCACAATGAAATCAGTCCTTTTTGCTTTTAAAAAAGTTTATAGATTTGGAAGCTATTACAGTCATACTGTACCTGATGGATTATTGTGTGAAACCTCCAATTTTCTACTTATCTATCATTTTCTGTTTATATAAATCCACATAAATGTATACAAAATCTTCACAGCATTCCGTTAAGTCTTTCCGTTGTTAGTACACTATAATATATGTTTTTGCTATTTTTTCTTCTTCTAACATTTTCGCTTAAAGCTAGAGATGGCTTATCTTCGTGTAGCCGTTCCTAATTTTTAACTGATAAGAATAGAGGGAAGGCAGTTAGTCAACAGAACCCACCGCTAACTCTGGACTACTCATGTCTGACTGAATAATGGGGATTTACCATCACTATTATATTGTGTCCACTGCCCCCACAGTACAGGGTGTGTTTCTGTGGCCACGGGACACAACTCTCCGATTCACCCTAATCACCAGACACATCCGACCTTTTCATAGAATATTTCTAGAAAAAAAAAAGAAAAGTTGGTCATCACCTTATTTTGCTTTGTTGATTTAAAAGAAGTTAATATAAAACATCAAAAAAGTTAAAATGAAGTGGAATGAAGCTAAAATAGACATCTCGTTAATTTCAACCTTATTGTTTTTAAATTTTCTATGACTTTTCAGTGCCATGTGGTGTTTCAAAAATACCACTGCATCATCATAATGGGCTTATAACTTAGATTAAACCTAAACATTCACTGAAAAGATACAAGTTATTATCCGAATTGTAAGTTATTTTTATTCGATAAAAATGTGAAATTACTGTGTATACGCACTTAATTAATTAAACATGTCAACATTGAAGCTCAAGACCGTTTGTTTGCGTCTGTAGCTGTTACTGGGTTCTGTGAGTCAATAAGTATTTCGAGCCAGGTGTGGCCCAGTGGTTAGCGTGCTCGGTCAGTGAATCAGAAGGTTCACGGTTCGCGACTTGTTGCTGCGAATACACGCTCCACATTTTGGAAGCCAGGGTGTGTTATAAGATTGACGGTCAAATCCCACCATTCGGTTAAACGAAAGTAGCCCAAAGATTTGGTGATTGGTACTGGTGACTGACTGTCTTCCGTACAGTCCTAGTTCGGCAAAGAGCCACTTGTGTAACAAACAAACAATACATTATTTATTAGGTTGTTAAATAGTGACATAACAACAAGGAAGATGGACTAACAGTCACTAGCTGCCTCAGTTTAGATGATCACTTTCAAAACAAATCTGATATTTCTTGGTGGCTGAACTTCTCGATGAACAGCTTTGCTTTCGTATGTTTTATAAAAAAAAAATACCCTCTAATAAGCCCTTAAATTAAACCTTTACTGTCTATCTGATCAAAAATTAAATTTAAAGATCATTTAGGTATAAAATTCATAAATATAATCTCGATGTGTGTTCTTTATTGTTTGGTTTACTTATGCGTTTGAATAAAATGTTTTAATTGAATTATTATTTATAAAACAATAAGAATTAGGATACTTAGTTAAAACGATTCGTTATGCTATTTTTAAGTTACTTATTAAATAATCACATTAAAACCTCTATTTTTATTAACAACTAGAGTAATTTATACACTTTCAAATGATCTGCAAAATTCACAGTTTGATAGGATCTCCATGTTTCCGAATCTCCAAAATACTTTAAATGTTTTTTATTGGGATCTGCTGCTGTGCCTATTGACCAAAGAGGGCACCTACATATATGCGTAAAATTATTAAAATATTTTTGTTTAATTAATTTTTCTGGAAAAAAAAAGATTGGTGAGTTTGGTATGTTCACGTGAATGAAAAACCAGTTCCGTTATCGTCCGAATTTATATTACCTATAAAGAAATGTTTTGAAACAACCCATTGTTTTATTTAATAGCTTGCAATTCCGAACGAACGAAGCTGAACAAGTGAAAGAAGTGTAGAAAAAGCAAGTAATTTACATAGCTCGCAGGTTTAAAGGAAAAACTAAAGAAACCTTGAGTGACATATAAAAAGACTGACCTTGTTAAATAAGACTCCACTGGAAGATTTCAATAAGGACGGGGTTGTGAAAATAAATGAGCGCGTAAGATTCGATAGATGTATTGAGAACGATTCTCTAACTTGTTATCTACACGTATTTTTACTGATTTCGAATATTTTCTAAATATCCATATTGACAAACTTGAAGAAGGAATATCGTGAGATCTAGGCTAGTTTTTCGTTTAATGTTTGTGCCCCTTATGTATATATACATATTCCTTTACATATGCCACAGGTTATACAGTTTCGTCAA